TTTTTTCTGCTTAATTTTCACAGTTAGTCTTTAATGGAAACTATGTGATGATCGTGATCACGCTTGTTAATTGTTGTGCAGGAAATGGAAGTGATCATCATCATCAGCAAAGTAGTACAGAATTCAGCGAGCAACCCTTGTCTAGTTCACGGTGGAATCCAACACCCGAGCAGCTTCTGGCTCTTGAGGAGCTTTACCGACAAGGAACACGAACCCCAACAGCCGACCAAATCCAACAAATCGCTGCAAAGCTTCGTAGGTTTGGAAAGATTGAAGGGAAAAATGTCTTTTACTGGTTCCAAAACCACAAAGCAAGAGAACGACAAAAACGCCGTCGTCAAGTGGAGTCAGTTTCTCATGACCAATGTGAAATCCAAAGCTTAGGAAAGAAAGATCAAGGTAATCATATTCACATCAAATATGTTGTCCAGTCTCCTATCCGGACGTTTCACTATATTTTGGTTCCTTTTCTACACGTTGTTAACACACATTGGAACAAGTTTTTCATCATTTTCTACACGTTGTTAAGTGAATGCAACGAAAAGACCCGGAAATAACGAATAATGAAAGAATTCATATATTGACATTTCGTGCTCATTTTCAAATTTCTGCTTTGTTATTCCCATCATCCGGTAACCACTGGATGATCAACAAGAAAGGTGGCAGGATTCGAACCTATGGCCGGACCGACCCTGACCTGTTGGTTGGGTGGCCGGGTTAGCACCCCTCGTCGCCTCTGTACCCGAAACAGATGCGCTGCGCTACCCAGCGCGTAACCTTGTCTCCCCTACCCCTTTTCTGGTTATGCCATTACCAATCGCGGGTAACCCCCGGACCGGCCGTCCCTGACCTAATAAGAACGATTATCCTTATGACCAAACAAGGACCAGCTTACTGACTTTTCGAGCGAGAGTTTCACTGAGAAAGGCTCTCGAAGATAGCATTGAGATTTGAGATTTATCAACGAACGGTCTTTGCCATTTCGAGTCTTTATTAAGTGTGCCCCGTCCAAAACCCAGCTTTTTTCCTGGGTCAAGCTCCTCCATCTTTAAGAGTATCCGTTTGTGTGTTTGTGTGTGTGTGTGTGTGTATATACCCCCCCATGACATGACTTGGAAAAGATTGCTTTTGCAATTGATGTAGCTCAACTCTAATTTTTTGCACTAAAACAAAATAAATAAATAACATATATTATTTGTAAGGGTGTGTATGAATAACTACTAACTGGTAGGAGGAGAAGAATTTGTTTAATTTTTCCCAGGAGGTTTATCTTAAGCTGCAACAAAAGTTAAAATGTTTTTCTTTCTTTTGTCTAGTACTGAGAAGGACAGATTATGAATTTGAGCAGATAGAGAGCTGGACGGCTTATTCAAACTGCAGAAAACTGATCAATGAGGTCTGCATATATAACTTTTTTCTCTTTTATTATTTGTCTTCATATGTATACATAATATAGATTAGGTAAGATATTTTATCAAACTAGAGATACTCAAAATTAAAATAGAAAGCAATAATATTATGATCTATTTAATTACTTTATCAAAAAGGTCATGAGAAAGTCAAGTTACAGAAGCAAGAAATTCAGAGATTTTTTTTTTTTTTTTTTTTAGGTTTTTATTTACGATATGTTGGAAAAGAAAAATGTCCTAAAAGCTGCTTTGTTTACTTTCTGTTGGAAGCTGTTGTCATGAAGTTCAGAATTTTTTTGGACTTGACGTGATTTTACTCCAACCTTTTAATATCTGTATTTATTATGTTTATAGGAATTAATTCCAAAGCATGGGCAAGCAACAGAAGAAGCTAGTACTGGAACAACAAATGAGCAAAACATGAAAGCCTCCTATTATTCTCCAATTCACCTTACAAACACCATAACTAAACCAGCTCCTTCACACACAAATTCTAGTTCATGCTCATCATTGAAAGCCAATTATTTCCCCAATTTCCTTGAGGATTCCGAAAGCAGAGAAACCCAAACACTTGAGCTATTTCCTCTTCACAGCAGTGGCCATAATGGCAATATTAATTGCAATAAGAGAGAGACCAAACTGCCCATAACATCACTCATAAATACCAAGTTAACCCCAAGCCAGTATTTTGAGTTCCTTCCTCTGAAGAACTGAAAGTAAAAACCATGTGGGTTACAAGAAAGAAATTAATTGCTTTTTTGCTATTTGTTGTAAGGTGGTAACGTAGGTTAGTTTGTTTTTTTGTTGGAAACTGGGACTGTTCCTTCTGTAGTGGTGTCATGCATGGTGCAAGAGGATGATAAGGACATGTAGTAATGTTGGAGGAAATGTTGTTGCCTTAAAATGCACTTGGACCATGTTGTCTTAACCAGGTAGAGCTCCATATATCATTTTTCTCTCAACAAGATTATATATAATTATACAAAGAATATTAAATATGTACTGGGGAATTAATATTCTGTGTGACAGGACTGTATATATATATATATATATATATATATAGAGAGAGAGAGAGAGAGAGAGAGAGAGAGAGGAAGAGAAAAAGCTACTGATGTTGAAAAGACCTAAAGTTTGGAGTGAATATGGGTTTTCAGGTAAATGCCACGAAAATGAGGTTTTCTAATGAGTGATGAATTGAGAATATGCCAAGCAACAGCTGCTGCTTCTGTATACTAAATTTAATGAACAGCAATTAATGCATAGCTAGCACACTTTGAGATCAATAACTCTTCGGAATAAAAAATATTTTTTTATATAAAGATCAGAACACAATTTCATACTTTTAAGAAACATGAAAGATCCATCCAACAACTAACAGATATAAGATCACAAAAAATATATATATATACAAATATGCTAGAAGGTCAGAACTCCTGAGTCTACCTACAGTTCGTGGTACTATACTATTATATACATGTTTTCTAAAATATAATATTACTCGTTTTCTGTATAGGATTAAACGATAAATTTCAAATTTTTTGAATTAATAGTATTTATTTATATAAGTAAATTTAAAATATATTATCTCGATTATACTTGATTTTATATGTTCATAGAAACTTAATCCTTGTCATTTTAAAAGATTCTACTAACCCATAATTAAAATAAATACAAATTTTGAAATAAATTTCATCCGAGCACAATCTTATTATTCTAAAACCGTGTTTTTCAACGGTTCTTTTATTTATCTCCAAAGATAACTTTAATTTTCTCATTTCCACCCGAAAACTGTCATTTAATTGCAGTGCTTTGAGAGTATTTCCCTCAAAATTCTGTTATACAAAATACCCCTAAACCATTTCATTAAAAATATTTTCTCCTCCATTAATGTAGCACCCTCTTTTTTACAGAATTAGGTTTGGAATAATTTTTACTTTCTTTAGTTTTATTTTCTGGCATTTTTAATTGCATCATTTTGAAAATCTTAATCTTTTATTCTTCTAAAAAAACATTAGTTTCCTCGAATGAAGGTCAAACCAGTAAGTATCTTAAAATTCGCCTGCAACGGGCTTCACCTTCACGCATGAAAAATTATATAAACAGAAACCTGTCTCACTGCTCTGAATTCTCTCTCTCAATCAGCAACCCATTAAGCTCTCTTGGGACGAAGGGGTTCCTGGTTGGGTTTCGAACGATAACATCTAGCCGCCCAATATTTTCCAAGGATGCTCCTCCTAAGAAAGGAAAACCCCATTCCATGCTCTAATTAACTAATTCATTGCTTCACTCAGTTTCTGTTTCGGCTTTAGCTAGTAATCTGAAACTAAGAGGAGAAGGTATGCGGAGAAAGATAACGGAGTTTGAGAGAGAGGGCGTAACAAAAGGGGAGGCTCTGGCGTCAGAACCAACGAATATAAAAGAAAAGAACATTCTTCCAAGAGGGTCACTTGATTTTCAATCAGGAAGGGGATTATTTATAATACATATATATATATATATATACACACATTATATAGAGAGAGAAAATATGATAAAAAATAGAGAGAGAAGATGTATACGAAGTCCTTTTTTTTCCAAGAAAGAAGCAAACAAAATTGACACTGAAACTCTTGCAGGGTTTTTCATCACTGAAAGTTGTGGGCAAAGATGAAAAGTAAGCCGGCAACACCCCCACATTACACAGACTCAGACGACAAGAAGGGAGAAAGTAACAGTGAGAAGAAGCAAACGTACAAACTAACCGGAATACAGAGAGAGAGAGAGAGAGAGAGAGCGCATATTGCCGAGGGAGCCGACCGTGATCTACAGAAAATCTAACTAGTAACCAACAAGACTCTACCCAAGCATGGAATTCGATTGCTTTTCGCCAAAGATAAACAGCCTACTCTTTCCCTCTGACTTGCCACTCTGCCCAATAACGACAACTACATCAACTACGAGTCCAAAACCATGACTTCCTTCACCCACACAAACCTTTCTGGGTCCTGTCCTCTTTTCGTCCCTGCTTCTGTACACGTATATACTGTACCGTCATCCCATCCCTCCGTCTTTAAAACTTTCAGCTTCTCTAATTCCGTACATCCCACTTTACCAAATCCAACACACAATTATTGGCCCGATTCTTTCACAATTCAAACCCATTATGCAAACAAAATTCTGCCCTTTTGAATGTAACAATTAACAGTGCCAAATTACGATAGAATGCTACCATTATCCCATGCCACGTTCTCTCTAACAGTCTTACTATTTTCCTGAATCAGGCAAACCCAGAACTTTAAATCAGATAGAAACATGAATATATTTACTTAACTGAGGAAGTTTTGTTTTTCTTTAAATGTCATTGACATACCAAGTCCAGAGAAAGAATACTACAAAGCCAAATTGAAAACTCTCCAACTTAAGAGCCATAACAGTTGTATGTAACACTCTTTTGCCAATTTATGGTAGTGGATCACCTCAAAATTTCTTCCATTTTCTATAAAATCAGCAAAAATCGTCAACTGTTTGTCTGTCAATAAAGAAAGTTGGGATGGCCTCAAAACATTAAGCTTTGGTTCTTTTCTTCAAAATAAATTTGTGATTAAGCTTTAGTTTGGCTTCTCAGTTGTATTTCTGTGCATGGGGATGCGTTTGTTAAAAGCCACTTCATCCCGGAACATTCACAAAATAAACAGCAAATCACATTCCAAACAAGAGCATTAGACCAACAGGTGGCAACTATTGATAAAGGAAAGCAACCATATCAAAATGTTGATTCTCTTTCCTTTTTCCTGACTATTTTCTTATTAGTTCGAGACCAGAGAATGCGACAACTAATGTCAATTTTGCCAGTGGTACACTTCACAGCCTTTTGTCTAACCAACCGTGAATCCCTGATCAAGTTAGATCACGACTCGTAGAGTGGTTCAGGCTCCACTTTTCTTCTGATCCTGAAAAAATTCCAGAGACAAAAGAGAATCACTTCTTGGAATGAGTCATTTAATAGAGAGACATCATTAATGAAGAAAAGGGTCTGTATCCTTGAACATAATTTCTTAGCTTAGTCAAAATTTCTTAATTTAGTTTACCTTAATGTCAAAGAAAAGTAGTTAGGATCAAAATTCAGGTTTTGTTGTTTATAAGAGGCCATCCGACCAGGTGGAGTATACAACCAGTAATAACCCCCCATTTAATAACTGGAACTAAATATGATTACCAAACATGAGGTTTAATTTTTTTTTCCCTATTATGAGTTTTGTGTTATGGTTAAAAATTTCATTACTAACTTTTAGCAATCAGATAAAAATTAATTAGCATAATTTTTTCTCTCATCTTCTTCATCCAAAATTTCTCATCGGTTTCAGTCTTTATCTCTTGCTATTTCCATCACATCAACTTCATTATTGATCTGGTGCCGCGTCTGTGATCTTCTTTGGGGGCCTGAAACAGTGAAATCCTGAAGCAAGCTAACAGTTTGCTTCTTAGAATTCCGGCCTTGTCGGCCAAGTCCTAGTCAAACTCCTAATTTCATAAAATTAAAAATGCATCTTTAATAAAGAATCATAAGCCAGATGAACCTCCTAAAAGCTGACTCCTATATCCATCTTATCATTTTGAGGCTGGTTGCCAACAGTTAGTGAGAAGTTTTCTACCAAAATGTTTTATGGGGTATGATATCTTCAGTGGCACTAATCCATTATATCTGCAAAAGGATATCCTTCGGAGACCTGACAGTGCCAGAGTAAAATGGTTTGGACCCAATACAGCATATATAAAAATGAATTTGAATACAAATTGCTTGGAACAAGTATTCTATGTGACTTGCTTGAAGCTGTTGGTGAGGTAGTTTTCTTTTTTAAAGAAAAAATAAAAAATATAGTAAGATTCATTAATTCACAAGAATCAAAAGAGTGTCAACTCATGTACAAAAAATATTTATGAGTCAATCAAAACATTATAAAGGTCTCTTAAATCCTCCAGTATAAAGAGGATGACCCATGACCAAAAACTCAGGACCTAAAACCATCTATCTCAAACCCTATAAAAGCCATGTTCCACCACCTCAAAAACTCTCCTATTCCTCTATTTCCACCCACGCAAAAAGTAGCAAGACGAATGAGACTCAAGGCGGTGGAGAAAGAAGCATCAAAACTAATGGAAATTAAAATTGGATTCCTTTAGTTACAATTTACTTAAACCATTTCTCCAATTAGTCCATTATTGTGAGTACCTTACAAAATATCCAACATTCTATAAATAAAACAAACAAGAGGAATTTATAGGTTACACAAAATTAAAGGAATAATGTAACATTTTCAAAAATATAAGCCATAAAGAAGTGTTCATGCACTCACCAATTCTCTTTTGCCCATTTGCAGCCATCGGTCTCAACCACATGCAAGCTATAAGCATGCCTTGATTTTGGAGACTGATTTTCAAAACTGCAGGCCATTCAAACAGAGATGACAAAGACAGAGATAACTTCGTACTCATTCTGTCAAGGAATTTTTTCTTCTAAATTTACTAAAGAAAAATGCATATTTAGAGGAGAAATAACCTCATAAGCTAACCTTTGATGGATAAGGTCACCATGAAGGACAACCAAAGATCCAGCTTTGACTTCGATAGGCACAAATTCTTTCTGGTCATAGCATGGAGAAAGCTTGTCAAAGGATACTCCCTCTTCACCCCTGATGAACCTTCTAACAAGTCCTTCTGTAAACAACATAGTATGCGGAATTCATATTGAACTGAATATTTTCTAAATTATTTCAGCTACCAAAGAAATAAACAAAAAAAAATTCTTGGGGGAAAAAAGAAGGATAATATGTATATACACACATTTATCTCAAAACTATATATATAAGAACAAAGCATCAAAGATGTGCACCCATGAAATAGAGTTTCACATGTTAAACAAAATATGAATAAGGTCCCTCAAATCTTCATTAGAAACAAGATGATGACCCAAACAAAAAACTCAGAGTTGCAACCAAGAATCCCTAACTTCACTAAAGTAAAAAGCCAATCCATCAAAAACTCTTGCTTTCCTTTCTCTTCAAATGACCACATGATAACTACAAGGATAAGGTAGATGAACTTTTTTCCCCCGTGTTTACCACCCTAATCCATGTCATACCCAAATCTCCCACAGAGCCCCTCACAACCCAACTCAAGCCAAGGAACTCCAAAGCAGTACACTGGAAGGAGAAAGGACACCATAAAGGAAGATGATCAGAAGTCTTGGCTGCCCTCATGCATGAAAAGCACCCATCTTAACAAGAATCTTCCCGTTTCTCTAAAGATTGCAAATCCCAAGAATCCAATCTTCCACCACCTACCAGGCAATAAAAGCAATTCTAGAGAGATACATTAAGCTTCCAACTGAGATGCTAGGGAGAGTCATTGTGGATTAAAAAGTTTTGCAATAAAAAAAGCACCAATGTCTAATTTTGACCATGATTTATCATCTCCCTCAATTTGGACATGGAAGCAATAGGTCAAGTTTCTCATAGGTCCTATAGACTATCTAGCACACTTGGGAGTCCCAGACTTGACCCTAATAATCCTCCACTAAGAGCCACCTTCAGCATTCATGAATCTCTAAAAGCTACTTCGCATGCATAGCCTTATTGAAGCAAATAAGAAATCCAATGCCAAGATCCCTTCTAGGGACATGGAGATCAACCATATTTTCAAGTCACCAAATGAAACCTCTTATGAGTTAGGAGATTGTAATACTGAGTAACGCTCAATTCACCTCGCCGAAGGTCATGGAGTGTCAATTTGATTTCGAAAATAGCCGAGGTGTTCTCTTTGCTAGAGTAGAATTCCTGAGTTGCCTTCCAGATTTCATGGGCAGTTTTGTAGAGAAGGAAATTCTCTTCGATTTCAGGAGTCATCGAGGTGATAAGTCAGGACATGACCATGCTATCTTCAATCTCCCAGACTTGTGCATTTGAGTTGGACGCTGGAGGAGGCACGAGCTCGCCAATGAGGTGCCCATAATGCCCTTTTCCGCGGATGAATAAGCGGACAGAAGACGCCATTGAAGGTAATTGCTGCCGTCGAATTTGTGTCCTGTGATGCAGAACGATGACATCCCACTCACAGCTCTGGTGGTTGCTGTGTGGTGATAGGAACCAGAGGAAACCTCTGGTGGAGAAAACGAAAGCTTACCCGTGGCCATTGAAGACGTTGGCTTAGCAGGGATCTCTTTTCTTTTTGGATCAGGTAAGCTCTGATACCATTAAGAATTTAGTAGAGAAAATAATGCTTCTACTTCTCATTTCCATTCATCAAATGTGTATATATACAGCCTAAATTCTAACAAACTCCTAACAGAATTATAGGGATGAGGAAATAACAAAAATTTGTTACTCTCTACCAAATTTGTGACTGCCTCCGTTTACAGCAGAAAATAGAAATTGTATAGATAACTAATTTATAATTTATTCCCTTATTTTCTACACATTCTTTAAACCTGAATAGCTTGCAATCTCAGTAAATGATTATTTCTTCATGCCTCCATTGATAAAAACAAGAACAGGACATGAAACCTCACAACCTAGACAAGAAGTTTCACACTACTCTAGTCTAAACTGAAAGAAGATTCCAAGATATGTCTCAGTTTGTTCCAGAAACAAGAGGGGACGACTAACATCGAGGGATTTGTGTCACAGGCCTAACATGCATCGTTGCAAACTCATCGAGAACTTTCAAAAGAGCAACCAATTATAGACCTTGGAACCTTCATGAATGAAAATTCTCCAGTGGGATTCACCCAAACACAATGAGAACCAAGAACCTGCCTCCCCATTTAATCCTACAACCAGCCAGTATGTTAGCCGATTCCTTCATGCTCCTAACTCATGAGATTTCTCCATTTTTTCCAGTAGGATCGACCCAGACATTAACAAGACCAACCTCAACTCTCCCAAAAACAATGGAGGATCAAGATCCTCTACCATTCTTAGACACTCTCATTAAGTCAATGGCTCCACCCTCAAGAGTGATATTGAAAGACTTACACTCGATGATCAGAAGTCTTCAAGAAGAAGAGACTGGCATGAGATCGGAAGGAAAGACAGACTGGAAGGGCCCACTCTGGAAGGAAATTAACTGAAAATTTCTAGAAAGACAGAACAAGAATCTTACATATTTATACACAAAGAACCAAAACAATTTGTTTTTTTTCTTTTGGAGATAAACCAAGAACCAAAACAAATAAGCAAACATAAATAAAGAAGCAAAGATAAACGGAAGTAACATACTTTTTTGAGACCCTGGGATGGCCCAAAGGCAGCCATTTGTTACTGTTGCATCTTCTAGAGCTAGCCAAAGACCAACACAACTTGCTGGTTCAGTATAAATAAATGAGTTATCTTGATGTGGCACTACTTCACCTCCAATTCCAGGTTGCTGCCAAGAAATAACTTAAAGATCACCAAACAAATAACACCAGGTATGGACTGAATCAACACACAACTATATCTTTTCTGTACGTAATTATAGTTTATAATAGGACAAAATCAACTAATCTTACTTCATGGCAGCAACAGCCAATAAAAAACCCTAAAGCTCAAGATTTCAGGGAGCATTCAGCGCACTTTTTTAATTTTACATTTAACTCAGCCAAAGTTCACTGTAGTCCGCCCAAGCTAAAATGTGGTTAAAACCCAAGTAAGGCTGATCACCAACAAGAAAACAGCTCATTATCCACCTCCCAAGTTGCATTCACTAAAAACAACTAAAGTTTAAAGAAACCATCATCATATATACACTCTTGCACCACCATACATGCTACTGAATCTGAGGCACCAAGAACCAGTTGAAAGTAATTACCACAGGGCAAAGAGTAAAAACACTGAATCGACCACAAAAGGAGTTAGAGCCCATGTAGAATGCGTGTGAGTCATGTCAAAAGTGCATGCATCGTGCTTACTCTTTAAAAGTTGGAGAAATATATACGCCTTGATAGTATTCCTACTCACTGCAGTGGGGTATAAACAGTTCACCATAGGCAAAAGAGAAAACGAATAAAGATTAGGCTAGACAATTTTTGTTCAGTTTCTAATTGGTTTTCCATTATTCTTACAGACACTGGAGTTGGTTTTCTATGGGACAATTTCCCGTTTTCTACAGTTTTCATTGTAATAGCTCCTGTTTTCCTACAGATGTGAAAGTTGGTTCTTCCAGCAAAGGAGGTTACCAATTCCTTACTGGCAGTTAAGTTTCTTTTGTATTCATGTAGACACTGAACTGGATAAAGCTAAGCAGAAGTTGTCAAAAAGGAGTAAGTTTCTTTCTCAAACCCAAAGATAGAAAGGATTCTTGCTTGAAGAATCCTTATCAAAGAAATTGAAGGGTTCAGCCTAGAAGTTTACTTGATTTGCAGTCAGCAAACCCTAACCAGATCCTATTTCATTTACCTATCACTTGATATTTTTTTTAAAATGAAGGACCTATCATTTGATATTGGAGTCAAGTTGTTATTGGTGACTTCTACTCTTTCCAACAACAGGGAATATCCCTTCATTCATGTTTGCAGACAAGCACATTTTTTAGGGCAGGAATGACGTTATAGACCAGCTACCACAACAACAGAATGATTTACTCTCCCACAAGTATCCCTACAAAGTGTGTATAAGAAGTTTACCATAGGCAAAATGATTAAAATTTTTTTGTTTCTTTATAGATGCAGAAGTTGATTTCTTTCAGCAAAGGAGGTTACCTTTTCCTTAAGAGAAGCTAAGTCTTTTTATTTTTTCATAAATGTCGTACTCCACTAGAGAAAGGTTGAGAAGATTTTGTCAAAAAAAGAAGTGTAAGTTATTTTCCTAAACCCAGAGACCAAATGGTTATGTCTTAATGAGTCCATCAGATAAATCAGGTAGCAAAACCTCTTCCCAGCAAGAGAAAAGGAGATTGATCAGACAACATGTACCATGGACCATTTTAGTTTGAATTTCAAAACCACATATACATTGTGCACAAGTGGATCAATAGAAAAGCTGAAACAAGACTACAGTAAGACAAAAGCTTTGAATTACTCATTATATTCCAAATCACAAGCAACACTTCAGTAAAGACATTAAGAGAAGAACGCAAAGCATCTTCTGCTAGAAAATGAGATACCTTAAAAATATACATAGACTGAATGACGACTGGCCTCTTATAGCCCAACGAGAATAGTGTGCTTGAAAACTTCCCAGAAGAAGAGAACTCTTTAAAAACTGGGTCAAACTCATGCAATGCTGCAAAAAGACAACCAACATATTCCAAGACTACTTTTGCACAACCATGTTTAGAATCTTTAGTAACAAATTCATCGTTTATATTACAACCCATTAACAATAACACGAAATGGTAAAAAAGAAAGAGAAAGCTAAGAGAAGAAAATCACTGGTGAAAAGAAAGAGAAATGTAAGAGAAAAAAGCATCCAAAACATACCATGCCCAACTTTGTTAATGGAAAGTTCCTTTGATTGCTTTAAGTTTCCATCATCCCCAAATGCTTTTTCTGGGATATAATCGCATATAACAGGTGTGAGAAAAAGCAAATGATCAATGTGTCCAAAGAACACGAGTTTAATGAGAAGCAATAGTAAGCCAGGACACCATGTAAGAGACCCACGAAATGACCTATTAAAGATCAAATACACTTGTTTCTTATCTGATCACACCTTTTAATCTCAATTAGAATTCTTAACTGCAATTAACACTTATGTGAAGCACTATATGTCCTTCGAAAGAATTGAGGAAAAAGAAGAAAGAACATAAAAAGTGACAAGAAAATTCAAATCTGCAATACCTTCAAAGAAAAAGGAGATATTCTCAGCACTCTCGTAGAAGTAATCATCAGTTAACTGTTGCTGGAAATTATAAAAAAAAAAAAAAAAGAGAACTTCTAACTTTCTTTGGTATATAATCAGGCAAATCGAACCCCTTAATTTTATTATAAAAAAGATTAAATGAAATATATGAATGAACCTGATTTTTAGTTGAAAAAATAGAGGCAGTGGAGCAGTCAAACTTATCGAGCAAGTGGTGTATTCTCTTCCTCAGAGCCCCAATCTGCTCAGTGCTCGCAAACGATTCAACCACGAGATACCCTACTCATATAACACAATAAATCGTTTAATTAACAGAAAAGTGAGAGCACTAACCAAATACATTTTATGTCTCCTGAAAGAGAAAACGTCCACAAATATTTTCTAAGTTGAATGAAAATATAGCAAGGGACGGTTGGTGACCTCGAGAGTTGAAGAACTCTAGCTGGTCTGGCCTGAGGTTACCGACGATTCCCATTTCGAATAGTATGCGTAGAACCCAAAAATCAAATCAATATCAAAATATATTGGATCTATGTAATGCTTGCCCGAGGAAGGAGAAGTACCATAAAGTCTGTCTTATTGTCAAGGGATTATAATTTAATATTGATAATACTTTTCTTTTAAAAAAATAATAAAATACCGATTATATTGATATGTTAATTTTTTTATTAATTTGTATACTGTTCTATTAATAGAACTATGCGCTTGTCTGTATATAGGTAAAAATAATTAATTCCTCTTTGTACTTTCAGAACATATTCAACATTCTTGACTTCTTAATTCTGCTAAGAACGACTTGAATTTTTTCATAAATTATCAGCATTAACTTCAAGAAAAAAAAATTTAAGTCATCACTACAGCTACTGAAGGAGAATTGAAAATTAACAAATTTAGTTGCAAAGAAATGTACTATTGGGTATCTAATTAACTTTCTTCATCTTCACAATTATCTTTTAATTCGAAAGTAAATGACTTTAACCCTGTCATTATTGGGATTGGACAATGATAATTCAATAAATATTATATTTAAAAAATATATTGTAAGGTTTTCACTCAAAATTCTAGAAACAAGGTCCATATCATTTGAGAGAGAAGACATGCCACTGTTGTTGAGGCAATCACCATTTATCAAGACAATATTTAATCCATTTCTATATACATCATCTTAATTTTTATTGATCAAAACGAATCGATCTAAATCGCCAAGCGCACTCCAAAATAATGCATTTATAGAGAAAATAAAGAAGACTTTGGAAGAGAAAAGACTCGATCTAGATTACTTTAAGAGAAACTACATGGACGTCATGTGTTATTGACGTAACATCAACATGATTTTTATGAAAAAAAAAATCATCACACATGTATTTATAATATTAAGAGTATCAATAGTTATTAACTGTTCGAGAAAATTTAAATACATTTAGAAATATATGATTGATTATATTTTAAAAAAAAAAAATTGACGAAATTTGAACATTTTTTTTTATAGTTTAGGAGAGAGCAAGAGTTTTTTTTACCCTTTAATTTTTATTTTTATTTTTTATTGATGTTACAAAGTAAAAACCTAGCTAAATATTTAAATATAAAATCATAATTTAATTTAACTTTTTAGTAAAATTGAAATAAAATTAAAAATAAATAGATAATATAAATTTTGTGTTATAGATAAAAGAATAATATATTTAATAAGCATATATTTATTAATTGTATTGTCTATTAATTTCTATAATTTTGAAATAAAAAGTATATTATTAATTTTCAACAATAGTCCTATATGTATTATAAATTATCTAAATATATCATTTATGTAATTATGATTATTTAAAATATTTATATTATAAAAAAAATTTCATTAATAATATTTGAAAATAGTTTAAATTACTAAAAAAATTTACTAATATTAATGTTGACTAAATAATTATAACACAATCAACTTAAATATAATATTTATTTTATGTTAATAATCTTTTTAACAGTACATTTTTACCAAACTTTGCATTATTTCTAACTTCAAAATTACTTTTTATTAAAAAAACATTTTTACATCTCATGAGCCAACATAATCCACAAACCAACCAAACTTTTATAGTTAAATATGTGTTATTATTATTTTGTTTTTTAAGTATTAATTATTTAATATATAAATCTAATAATATTTAATGTGCAGTTAAATTGCTTCATGTACGCGAAAATTATATCTCGATGTATGTGTACATTCACATTTTAAATAAACAACTACAAAATCACAACTTAAATAAAAAAACAAAAATATACACAAAAGTTACTGTTAGAACAAAAATTGAACAAAAACAATTAATTACTAAGTCCGCTAGTAATGGTGGAATTAAGTCCAGCAAAAGTTACTAAAAGAACTACAAAGGGAATTGAAAACCGAAATTATCACAAAAGAATCAATACCCTGGTTTATGATAAATGTACAAAAGAGCATCCCGTTTCTAATGGTCGACTTACAAGAGTAGACTGAACTGCATTGTAATGTACAAACATGATAAAACCAGGGTGTCAAAGAATCTGATGTCATCTAGCAGTTTGTTAGATACAGCAGCTGCAACTGCAGAGACATCAAACGATGCCTCAGTCATGCCCAGGAAAATCTGGCAACCCAAGGATTATCATTTTGTGTTCTCCAGCATCATGTTCAGAGATGAAACTTACCCTCAATCCCGGGAAATGATTAGATAAAATGTGACCAACAAAATCCTCGAGAGCTCCCAAAATTTGATGTGTATGCCCTCTCACCATTACGGAAAGAGAAAAAAAATGAAAGAATTACAACACACAAAAAGGGGGGTCAGCAGCATATGTACTCACAAATTACTGACACAAAAAGAGTCACCCATCCAAACCTCTCTCCAAAACATCATGTGGCTGATGATGATCTTGAGTTTTCTGTCTTGTTTGCCCGGCACATGCAATCTGGGCATGGAAAGGTGTATATGGAATCACTTGGCCGCTTCAGCTCAAATCCCTTGGAATCACTATGAGACCGCATATTTAGCATCTGTCGCTTGAAACTTTTCCATCTGAGGATAAAAGGGGGTAAAAGGAAAATTCTAAGTTCTACCAAATAGGAAGAAACATTCCGATGAAGTAACTGTCAAGATTTTCCATCACTGTCAATCATACATATTTCCCAAGAGCTTTTTCCCAAATCCTCCCTCTATTAATTGGGCAACCAATTCAACAAAAAGAAAACATCAAAACAGTGAGGATGTCAAGTTAAATAAGAATTCTACAGTGGATGAATTATAGGATCTATAGGATTAAAAGAGAACATTTTTTTTTTAATTATTATTGCCATTGTCTTGAAGATTCTGTTCCATCCACTTTGACAGTTCTATTGAACGGTAATAACTAATCCTAACATGATATCATTGTCATTGATATATTGGATATCCTTCCAAATCTCAATTTACTAACAGTTGAAAATGCAGTTAAACGATAGATGAAGGTACAAAGAGTAAGGAAAGAAAATGGATGGTAAATAAAGGAAACTAAAAGCAAAACCTATCTTTTCCATTTTGAGAGACTCATTTAGTTGCCTGACCAATTTGTTAACATTAATACAAGCTCATCTTATGAATGATCCGTGTTATCAGTCAGTTTCTTGGGAACTATTTCAGCAAAAATCTAACAGTACTTTCTGTTTTAGTTTTGTCTTTGTAAGATCTTCAGTCAACACCTCAATATACTAGAGATTCAGGTAAGAAAAAAAAATTGATAAAAATACACACCCAACATTAGGATTATCAAAGAGTAGCGCTAACTTCCGCTTGTCTGGTCTGATTGTCTTCGAATGTCCTCCGTATAAGTATCTCCTATGGCCCATAAGAAAATGAGGGAAATTCCCCCCTTGAGTAGTCACAAACACCTCACTGTGGAGACATACAGTGTAATCTATAGCAGCCATCCTGGAAGAGAAGTTCTGAATGCAGTAACTCAAATTAAAACCAATGACAATTGGCAAGGCTCAAAATGCTGGAAAAGAAAGAGAATAAATGCATATCATCCCCACCTTAAATGGAGCAAGTTCCTCATCAGATGCCAATGTCTCTTTAGTCTGCAAATTAGGGAACATTTCTAAAAGTGGAGCCATCGTTTTCTCAGCATTGTATATCTTTCCAGATGCCAAATAGATATATGTCCTTTCATCAAAGCCCATTCCTCTAAGCATCAAACCAACCTAATAAAGATAATGTTATATGGAGCATTATAAAATTATTTCTTATTTTCCTTATTTTTTTTAAACAAAAAGGTTATTTTACAAAGCTCCTAGGCAAAGTGTGTTTAGGCAAAGTAAAGACTATGAATCCTTTGGCTACATCATTTATCTAAGAGTTAAGGATAGACAAAGATGCCAAAAGTTTCCCTCATGGCCAATAGTAACCAAACTTACTGCAACTGTAACTACACTTAACACGTTGTATGCTACAAATGAAAAGAATAAATAAATATTACAACTAAACTTTGATAACTTAAATGTCAAATTCTTTTTTTATTGGGAGGTTAATTCAATTTCTCTCTAGTTCCAAGATCATCAGGAAAAAAATATTCATTTTGAAATAAAAATAATATAGTATAGTTCATTCACAATCACCAAGAAAGTGCAAACCCACGTACAAGATATTTACATATCACTCAAAATATCGAGAAGATCCTCAAGATTCTCAAAGGAGTAAAGAGGAAGACCAATAATAAAACAAAACGCTAGGGTCTAGAAACACCTATCTTTAAACCTATCACAATTAGTTTTTGGGCCTTCAAAAGTTATCATGTTCCTTTCTTTCTACATGACCCGAAAAGTAGCAAGGGGGATGAGGCAAGCATACTTCTTCACATTACTTATTACTTTCCATGCCCGAATCTCTTCCCTCACCAAACCAGTCATTGCCCCAATAAATGCCCAACAGGGTACAAGCAAGGATCCACAGTTGATACACAAACAGACACCACAGAATGATATGGTTATACAACTCTACATTCCTTTTACATAGAAAACAACCATTTACCATAATCATCCAGCCCTCATAATCAGTTTGTCCAGAGTTAAACGCAACCTCTACCTACCTCCCAACCATTCACAAAAGCATGTTGACACTCACCCACCACCTTCCTCGTCACTTTAGTCATTCTACTTACTAATAGCCTAAAATCTTTGATACTTGTCTTTCCATTCACCTTAGATAAGCACTCAAAAGTAGAGTTTAAACATCAGATAAATGATCCCAACTCATGAACTCATTAAAT